AAATTCTAATGCCTTTGAAGGAACTTTCCCTTGATGACAGTTAACTAAATTTAATGCATTAATATCAATATCCAATATTTTTGTCCATGATTTCGATCATTCCAAGACTTTCTTCCAGGTTTACACTGATTTTATCTGTTTGGAACGAGGGAAAGGTAAATTATGTGAAGTCGCAAAAGTAGTAAACAAAACGACCCTTTTTCTGGCAGAGCTCTCTGTTCATTGAACCCATCTGTAACTGTCGACAAGCCTTTTTTTGGGGGGGACCTAAACATTCCCCACAAGAAAACAAAACCATAACCATCTCTGTATGTACGTTCGTTTTTTCCAGATAAGCATTGGAGTCTTTTTTTTTCAACTTGAAACCTCATCCAAAAGCTTGTATCTTCTTACCTTGTTCCTAAACACATGCCTTGTAATGAGCCCACTGTTTGATATCTCTTCTGACTTTGTTCTTCTAAGCTTTTCTTCTAAACGAGCGTTTGTTATGATCCTTTTCCTGATCGTCGTTGGCGATTTCTCTGGTGACTTTGGTTTCTTGATGGGGTTCTTGATCAGTTGCAGCTTTAAATTGTTTCTTTGGCTGCCTTTCAAGCCAGTTGGTCCCGGGTTATGGTGATCGCTTTTTTTCTTGTTCTTGCTATCGTCTTCGCTGTTGTCTCTACATGATGCTGAAGAATTACAAGAATTCTGAGACTTCTCCTTTGAATCCTCCTTTTGATTCAAACACCAATTACAAACTTTATAAGACTCGGCCTTTGGAAACAGATTGCTACAGTATCTGCCCAAAAAAGGAAAGCCAAAAAATCATGATCATCTTAATAATCTCTCCCAAGAAAGAAAACAGAAGGAAGATTTACTAAAATTAATCAATCACTGATCAAGGAAAACAAAACCCCAGAAAGGAAAAAGAACAAAAATTCAGTGATTTGCTTAATCTGGGCATAAGTATATGTATGTTTACCTGTGTTGAGATCTGAATTGGCAAACTTTGCATTGGAAAAGCTCATGAGTCAGACCAGAATCTCCACACATGCAACACTCTAGCAGGCTTGCTTGCTGTGATGGTACAATATCTTCTTTGTTTGAAGCCATAGTGTTTGCTTCATATGTTAAGAGAGAAGAAGGAAGAGAGGAAGAGCAAAGAGATAGAGAGATGGATTTATAGGGGCTAAGACAGACGGCCGCACAGTAATAATAAACCATGGGTGGATCGCTAGAGTTTTATTGCAATATTTGATTAATCCTGTATATCATTTTCGATATCGCGTGTGTGAAAAGTAATATAAGAATATATATTTCAATTTTCAAGGGGTGGTGTTGCCCCCAAAAAAGAATGCATGATTGAGGTTTGAGGATTGGCTTTGGGTCTCAGATAAATATATATATATATATAT